AAATATTAGGTGTGTCCCGCGCGCTCATATGACCTTATGCAGTTGCGAGCGCCGTAAAACACTTTACAAAAACAAAAAGAAACAAATCTGTGGTAGCCCATCAGTGTGTTGTTTACAGGCAGGTGAAAGGTGCCGCTGGTTTGTTCTACTTGTTTACTTGCCCCCTTTTGTTTCTCTTTGTCTTGTTTTTTTCTCATGACTTTACCGCTGAGTGTTGTGTGGATGTGCTTCTTTTGACTAAAACGTATTGTTTCATTTTCTTGCCTTTTCTGCTCTCTAGATGGCTGTTATTGTGTCAATGCGCTTCTCTTTACTCAAAACTAAAACTATGTATGCAGTGCTGCCCATCATTACGAATAAGGCGGAATCATTACGATTTTTATTAAGTTTTACGAAAATACGATTGTGATACCCCGGATTGTGGGTGGTTGGCGGGTGCTGTGGGGTCGTTTGGTCCTTCTTTCCTATCAAACATCTATCGTCCTTATCTCCTCTCCTTTTTTATGTTTGTTACTCTCTTGTAACACTTTTAATCTTCTGGCGCTCATATGACCTAATGCAGTTGCGAGCACCGTAAAACCTCTACTAAAACAAAACAAATATCCCTGATTACGATTTTTAACAAAGTTTTGGCTACCACAAACCAATGCCTAGTGAATAAGGGGAGAAAAATTACCAGACCCTGACAGTGTACGTCAGTACGTCAGGGGCAGCTATCTAACTCTAACATGTGGGTGGTTGGCGGGTGCTCTGGTGTGGTTTGCTCCTTCTTTCCTCTCAAACATCTATCGTCCTTATCTCTCCTCCTTCTTTTTTATGTTTGTTACTCTCTTGTAACACCTCTAAACTTCTGGCGCTCATATGACCATATATTGCAGTTGCGAGCGCCGTAAAACCTCTACTAAAACAAACAAACAAAAACTCTAGCATCCTCTCTGCTCTGAGCCCTTGAAGTTGCTTTGTGCCACTTGACCCTTATAAAAACATTAGACTAAGGCAAACATTAGATTGACAAGGTGTTAACACAATTTCTGTCCTTTTGTGTTTTTGGTGGCAGCCTAGACCAATGAGAATAAAAAAAAAAGGATCATTGTTTTAAACTTGATACAATTATACAATTAGCTATGGTGGGTGCAAGCAGTAACTACCCCCCACCCATCCCTTCCCTCTCATGCACCCTTTTTTTTTTCTTAAGTGGACGATTGCAAGCTCGGCAAAACGTCATTTCTTTTTTTTAAAATCACACCTTTAAGATACATTTACACTTGACTACTACACCCCTGTCCCTGACACCCAATGGAGAAAGACTATTTATGATGGCCAGTTTACAACTATTAAAGCCCGATTACTAATTTTCTTGTTGTTGATTACTAAAACATATGCCAGTTGGTGGGCACCCCTGGGTATGTGTCCTCCTACAGTGTCGTCTGGTAACCTCTTGGACATTTTCTCCCTATCTGTGTGTTCGCCTGTCTGTTTGTAGTTCTGTGTGTGTTAACTTGTCTGTTTGTAGTTTAGTTCTGTGTGTGTTAGCCTGTCTGTCTGTAGTTCTGTGTGTGTTAGCCTGTCTGTTTGTAGTTCTGTGTGTGTTAGCCTGTCTGTCTAGTTCTGTGTGTGTTAGCCTGTCTATCTAGTTCTGTATGTGTTAGCCTGTCTATCTAGTTCTGTATGTGTTAGCCTGTCTGTTTGCAGTTCTGTATGTGTTAGCCTGTCTATCTAGTTCTGTATGTGTTAACCTGTCTATCTGTGTGCTGCTCAAGGTAATGCGTGTGTCCCTCTAGAACAAGCACAGGTTTTCCTCTTCATTCAGGCTGTCATTTGTCCATTTTTTTTCAGAAAAGTGAACGTCGGCAGCAACATGCTGTCAAGGAGACGGAGTTCCTGCGACTGAAACGCTCACGACTGGGCGTTGATGACTTTGAGTCCCTCAAGGTCATCGGACGAGGCGCTTTCGGCGAGGTCTGTGTGCTTTATCAGGGTGTGGCAGATTGTTTGGAAAATTGTTTACCCTTATTCAACTTATTGTCAGGAATCATTTTGCTGTTGGTGTATATTGGTTAAATAGTAGATAACCTACTTATTGGAAAAAGGTGTTATTTTGGAGAAAGTGTATTTATAGATAAAGATTGTGGCCCAAAGTGTATTGCAGATTTCACAGTAAGTTCCCACACTTTTCCCACTTTCCAAAAAAATGTTTTATAAAAAAAAAATCAATGTCCAAATAAATATATTGTAAGTTTAAATTAAAGATATGAATAGCGGTATGGTATCATTATTCATTTTTGGTCAGACCCAAAGCTACTCTTTAACTCTTTATCTCCAAGGGGCCATTTTTTGGTACTAAGTCTAAAAATGTCAAAAACGTCACTATACTGGTCACTAAATCAAAACAAGGGAACCTATTTTGATGGTTCTTCATCTTATGAGTGAAATCCTGATAAAAGAGACCTGTTTTCGGCAATTGCCTAATTAGATGTTAAAGTCGCCGTAAAGGAATGTGCACGAGCTGCTGTCAGCGGCTGGCCGGCACAGCGGCTAACCAGCACAGCGGCCAATAGGAGCGGCTTGCCGGAGGTAAAGAGTTAAAAAATGACAAAATTACTATTCGACGTGGATTTGTCTCCTTGGGTAAATGATCAATGTGGATATGTAGCATTTTGTCAAAAAAGTGTGGGGATCTCATAAAGTTAAAGGATAAAAAATCCTATATATAGATTTCATCACACAACAAATATATCAGCTAAGCCTTTCATCATGCTCCCTTGAAGCCCTGCTGGGACCCTGTCCCTTGGCCCTGCTATGCAGCCCCAAAGATCTGTACTTTTATAGAATTATCCTTACTTTTCTGCTTTGTTTGCTTGAAGCACTGATAACACCAAATCAATTAGCACCTTAACATAAGGTCTTACTTACTTTTTATATTACTTTTTGTGGCCTGTGTTACTTTATGGTTTCAAGAGAAGCAAACTTTTTTTGTTTGTTTGTTGTATAGCCTGTTGTATGGTCATATTGTTTTTGTCTTATGTTTCTCTTACCCCTTCTATCCATCTGTCCATCTTTTCCTGGGCCTGTTTCTTCCTCTGTGTCCATCTGATCTCCTGTTGTATGCTCTTGCTGCTGAACTGCCTGGTGGTAGT